GCCTTTTTCTCTTGAAGCTTTGGAATTTCAAAACTAGACTTTGGAGTTAATCTCTGTTGTTAACCCACAATACACCCTTCTCCCCCATATATTGATTTTCATTGTATTTTTTTTTTTTTTAAAAAAAAAACCGTCTCTATTGAAATGATTATTTCACTTAAATATTTAAAACATTTGCTCTCCCCTGTCATTCTGGGAGAAGTCATTAAAGGGAAAAGCACCTATGCAGAAGGATATCATCAAACAAGTTAATTCCTTTAGAAAGTTGCTGTGAGCTGACCCCTGGAGAGTCCTGTGCCTTCTGCATTTTCCCAGTGACTGGGGAGGGACCCGTGGGGGTCTGGGAATTGGAAATGTGTTGTGGCTTCATGGCCTCCTAGATGACCATAGAGCATGTCCCGCAGCTCTGCTTCTGCTGGGAGTACCTCTGGATTCCTACCATTCCTTAGAAATGGTAGGTACCTTGGCTGTGGCCTCTGTACGATATTGTCCTTCCTGGAGACAGGGCCACTTGTGGGTGTCTCCTTTTCCTCAAGACTCTAGCAAGTTCTACCGTTAGCCTAGCCATAGGCTGTACCTGCACTGGAGGCATGGCTGGCTGATCCTTCCGGGTCCTTCCAGTAGTGTTGTGCCTCTGCTCTGTCAGTAACTGAATTTCTGCTGCTTCTCCTTCTCTGGATGCTAAGATCCAGTCTCTGCTGGGCACTGTGATGTCACAGAGCAGAAGCTCTCTTCCCCCACCCCCACCCCTTGTCCAGCTGTGACCTCCCTGCCCACATCAATGACGATCTCTCAATTGCCATTTCCTTTAGCCCCCAGAATCTTTCTGGAACTATCGGGGAATAGGGCTTCAGGCCATCCACTTCCCTGCTTTATACATACCATCGAGGCCCTGGATGGTGAAGTATCTGAGCTAACTAGCGCCCAGAGGCCCTCAAAGCTGAGCTCTTGCCCTTCTAAACATACTGCATTTCTACCCAGTTCCACTTTCTGGAGTTGGCCAGCACCAGGGGTTTCCAGCAGGCAGCTCAATAGACTACCCGCCTCCACGCATCGCCAGAAGTCTCCCGATACAGCGCGTGTCGTAATGCAGCAGTCTTAGTGGAGACCATTTGCTTTTCTGGCAACCTATAGATGCCAGGAAGTGTCCATCTTAACCTGGACTCAGAAATCCTAACCCCGCAGACCCATTCTAGACTAGCAAGCCATGTGACTGCTGAGTAATTAACGTGTTCACAGCTCTGGAGAGGATAACAAGGTAAAAGCCACTAGTCATGTTCCCTGCAATGACATCCCAGTTCCTAGTATTCCCCGGCAAAGGAAGATCAGTAAAGAAACAGGTTCTTTCCACGATGTAGTTCTTGTTTTTATCTCCTTCTTGTAGACATTCCCCTATGATGTTAAGGGATTATCTTCACTGCATGAGATGACTTGTACCTCTGAAGTCATAGATTTGTTCTTTTAGAGTCCCTTAAGGGTGGGGAAATGTATATCACACTTGTAATACCAACAACTAACATTTTATATCATGCTTCAACGTTTACAAGCCATTTCACGTATATCATTTCATTTAATCACATCTCAGTGAGGTAGTATATTATTTTTAGTACAATTTTATGGATGAGAAAATTATAGCTTAGGACTCGCCCAAGATCACAAAGCTAATTAAGTAGAAAGGTTAACATTAACTGTAAACCAGATCTTCCAGCCAATGATTTTCCCCACCATAGGCCTTTCCCTGGCTCAGAACTGTCATTTGGTCCCAGAAAACCTTTAAAGGCAACTGCATTAAGTGACCCTTCGAGTAACGAAGAAGAAATCATAGCCATGGGCTATAAATGCTGTTTCACTAACCTCCTAAATGCCTTCATAAACCTGGCTGTTGGACACTAATTTCCAACTTGAGCCTGGTCTAATGACTGCCCACTCACTCAGCCCCACATCCGGGAATGCTCTGAAGGGACCCATCACGGACACGAACAACATTTAGATGGAAGAGTTCTTTGTACAGCTGCTTGTATCAGGAGACAAATTTAGAAGCTCAGCCATAGAAAAGTGGTAAAAGGAATTGCCCTAAATTCATGAGGAAGGTGGCTTTGAAGTTTCCTCAACTTCAACCATTTGTTTGCCCAAAACACGAAGTTTGCATTTTCCTTTTAATTAACTTTTAATTAAGAAAGCAATGATTGATAGTATTTTACATAACAGGTAGAACTTTAGCATCAGTGACCATGTCTGATTATGACAAAAAAAACAAAACAAAACAAAACTAAGTTCAACGACAAGGGAATGTTTGTTATTAATGCCTTAGTTTTGTCCTGATACTTAACTGAAAACAGACAACTGACCTAATCAAATAACAATTAATACCTTTCATTTTCATCAAAAATTGATGTGCCTATACTAAAATGCAAATGATTTTTTCATCACTCATCTGTAAAAGGTTTAATACAGAAATAAAGTACGTAATCTAATATCTTTAGATACACTATGCCCTAAATCACCAAACCCCCAACACTTGCTGTAATGATGACATCACTTAGATCATGTGTGCTCGCAGGAGTATGTACAATGGCCAAGGCTCCTTTTCCCTAAGTTGTTCCATCCAGCTGTTACCTCTAGAAAATATGAGCCTCAGTTGTGTCTGACCTTGACTGAGCACCTGGAAGATTATATTCTATGGAGTGTGGGTCTCACTGCTTCTCTTTAGCATGGGTCTCTGTAATGCAACTCAACTATTACCTGGCTTGCATACCCTCACCTGGAGCGTATGTGCCCTAAGTCCCTTGTAGAGGGACAGCGAAGCTCTCACACCCTCATCAGCCAGCTTTTTTTTAGGGTAAATGAGGAGCGACAGACAGCGCAGGGTTTTGCTCAACTTGAAGGCAGATTCTGTGAGAAAATTACCAGTTTTTCCAAACTTAAACTCTAGTTCAAGCAAGAATTTCTCATGTTGGTCTACAGATCACCAAGATGAGAACCACCTACTGTGTGTGTGTGTGTGTGTGTGTGTGTGTGTGTGTGTGATATAAATGAAGGACTAGAGCCACTGAGGATTTGGGGACTTTGGAACCAATCCTTGCAGAGGTGAAGCATAAATGTGTATACCCATAAAGCCCGCCAGGGGAATTCTGATCACACAACGCTTAAGAACTAGACAGTGGTTCCCAAGAATTTGAGCCAAACTTCAAGTGGGCTGAAACACAAGAGGCCATTGTCGGTTCTGGTTTTGGAGGTAGAAAGTCCAAGTCAGGATTTCTTCTCTTCTTGTTTTGTTTTTCAAGACAGTGTCTCACTACATAACTCTGGCTGTCCTAGAACTTGCTATGTAGACTGAGATAGCCTCAAACTCACAGAGATCTGCCTGCGTCTGCCTGCTGAGTACTATGATTAAAGGTGTGTGCCACCGCACCTGGCCAAGATCTGATTATGTTTACATATTTAATTCTGTGAGTGTGTTTGTGCACATGGCGTTTGGTTCCCCTGGAGCTCTAGTTACTGACCCACTGAAGTGGTGCTGGGAATTGAACTCTTAACCTCTGAGCCATCTCTCCAGCTCTGGGACATCTTTTAAGGATAGTATTTTTATTAATTCTTTGAAAAGTTTGCACGTACATATAATGTATTTTACTCTTATCCACATCATAACCTCGCTACAGCTCTGCCTGGGTCCCACCAACCTTAGCTCTCTAGACTTGATGGCATCCTTTATGGTGATGATGACGATGGAGATGATAATGTGATGATGAATAGGCTCCTGAGTCCAGTTAGTGCTCACCATGTGGGAATGAGTGTGTGGCTGTCTGCGACTTGAACAAGCCACCAGTAGCCACATATCCAAAGAAAAGTCACTCCCTCTCCTTTAGTAGACATTAAATGCCAACAGCTCCTCAGCTGAAGGGTGGGGACTCAGAAGCCCTTCTCTTGAGACAGGACATTTTTAACAAACATGTTGGTTGGTGAGAGACACCACACTTTGAGTACCACTCTACCAGAGACTAGACACATTCCAAGGGCATTTCCCCTACCGTGTGGGAAACTAAGTCTTTACCTACAAGAGACTCAAAAATCAATTTGTTCTTTATTGAATTTTATTTTTACGTAGGTTTTTGGACTTTTTTTCCCTTCTTTTCTTTTTCTTCCTTTTTTCCTCCTCTTCCTCCTTTCCTTCCTCTTCCTTCTCCTCCTCCTGTGGCACTAACGATTGGACTCCAGCCTTTGTATTTGAATCAAGCACTCTATCAGTGAGCTGTACCCAAGGCTCACTCGTTCTCTGCAAATATAATTTTTATTTCCTGATAAAAATGTCTAAGTCTATCCATTCAGGATTTACAAAGTTAAATAGAATACTTGTGTTTTATTTCACACTGTTTACAATGTTATGTAGAGACGAAAGGTACAAATAAATAGTCGAAAGTTAAAAAAAAAACAAAAGCAAAAACAATCGGACTTTAACTGTTTGAAGCTGAGCAAGGGACATGACACTTCGTATTGCAGCCCAGCTCCTAATGTGCCCTTGTGCCTTACTCCAAAGGGCCATTCTTGAGAAGGAAAAGAGAGTTACTTACAGCTTTACTACCTAACAGGAGAGTGAACAGGTCACCTCCTACCTGCACAAACAGAAGTGGGAAGCAAGGGCAGACAACTCTCCTGAACTGCAGGAAAAGGGCCCTGTTCCCTCTCAGACAGGAGATTCACTAAAAACCTTGCCGGTGTTTCTGCCAGTGCTGCGTGCTCTTTAGCATAACTTTCATATCAATATTAATCTGGCAAATACTTTTACTCCCCTTCTTTGTGCTTGTCCTGGCATGATATGTCAAAAACTTAATAAATTAACACAATCGGTGCCTGAATTTTGCTTCAACGGCCCAGTGATCAGCATAGCAACTGTTTCCAGGCTCAGCCTACAAAACAAGCCGTGGGTATGATCAAACTGTGCGGTGGAAATTTCAGTCAAGGCTTGGTGAAGCTAACGCTTGAATCTCTTTTAAAACATGTTACGAAAATTCAACATTCTCCTGGGAAGTGCATTGTAATCCAGACCTTTTCCCAAACAAAACTACTTATGCTTAGTTTAAATGTAAGAATGCCTGTAGAACCCCAAAAGATGTTGGTCAGCATGTGAGACCCACCTTAGGTCCTCACCAAACCAGTATTTCCTCAACAGTGATGTAGCATTACATACGCCAACAGACTTCACTGTGTTTGTGTGCTGGGGTTTGCGGCTGAAGGTACAGTTGCACATGGAGGCCAGAGGCTGCCCTTTTCTCCTGAGACAGGGTCTCTCAGAGATACCACTTGTCGCTGACCCTCCAGGGCTGGGGGTTTATGTGTGCACAGCCATACTCAGCTCTTTTAGCTCTTATTGTGTGGAACACAGGTGACAGAGATTTGAACTGGGGTCTTAATGCCAGCATGTTGGTGCTCTTAGCACGGATCCATCTCTTCATCCCTGGGATTCATGTTTACCAGTGTTAATGGCATTGTTAAGAAATGATGTCATCCGCGCTGCAATAAAACATACTGAAGCCAATCAAATATTTGAGTTAAAACGCTTTAAAATTATTAGCTTTAAAAGGTGAAAATAGCGATGGTCACAGAATACCATGTTCAGATTATCACCAAGAGATAGATACTTTCTGCTAGGGCGTCAGTAGGGGATAAATGCCCCTGGAGTAGAATACTTCAGAAAAAGAGCTCCAACGCTTTTTAAGGATGGGGAGAAAGTTCTATTCGGCTCTGTAGTCCATCTGTGACATTCCATTTGAAACAGGGTTGTGGTGGCCTTTTGGGAACACCTTAAACCAAAACAAGTGACACACACCATGAAAACCTACATTCTTCCCAACTGGAATTCCCATCAGCCTAACTCCTCCACCAAATCCATTTTCTCTAAAAATAATAAATAAATAGAATAATTTTTTTTAAATTCCCTTCTTCTTATATCCATAGAATTATCTTCCCCTTTCTCCTCCTTATTTACCCCAATAGTTAGCTCCATAAAAGGAACCCAGGGTACTGCACAAACCACTCCTATTGCGAGTGGTCTCTACTGTGGTCTGAAGGTTCCCCAAAAATTCACGTGTGAAACCGGATTCACCCACTGTACTCCTATCAAGAGGGCACGGATGGGGAAGAAATTAAGTACTTCACGGTGAATCTGCACCTTGCAAAGGGGCTGGAGGGAACTTCTCTCTTCCTTTGGTTCCTTTTCGGCTTGTCCACCATGTGAGGACTCTGATCTCATTGGAGAACAGAGCGACAGGAAGCGGAAAGTAGCACTTGCCAGGCACCAAACCTGACGCTATCTTGATCGGAGAGTCCTCAGCCTCTAGACCTAGGAGAAATATCTCTGTTACTTATAAATTCTCCCATCTCGGGAATCCTGCAGAGCTGCACAAGCATAGGGCAGATCTCCAGTGTCTCTGCAGCCTGGGCAGCTGCTCTCCTACCTGTTACATCCTCATCCTTAGCGAAGAACTTAAGGGTCACGCAGCATCCTCTCTCGGCCCCAATGCACACTTCTGAACGCACTGCATGTGTGCCTACACCTCTCTTCCCTTCAGTTTGGTGGAAAAGGCATCCTTCGCTGGGGTACCTCCCCCCATGCCCTGAGCCTCCTTCGAGGCTGGTATTTCAGGGAAGCCGCTCCTTCAGGTATCCCTTTTGGCTAATTTCAACCACAGTCTCTATTGTCTCTTTTTTTCAAGGAAGTACACACACACACACACACACACACACACACACACACACACACACATCTCCCTCCCTTCTTCTCAACCCCTCTCAAGGGAACAGCTCCTTTCAGTTCTGCCCCCTTGTGTAAGCCATCCTCATGGAAAGAATTGTCTACTATGGTTCCTTTCAAACCGCAATATCAGTTCCCCAAACAAGACAAGTCAGATGCAGGAGCACTTTAATCTCTTCCTCCTTCATCTCTCTACCAGGCTTCTAGGACTTCCCTCAAGCTACAGTTGAGAAAACAGACTACCCGAGCCAGCCTGGGGCTCCACTTCCATCTCACCTCAGTGTTCGGATCACAACTCTGTATTCATCCAACAGTGCCCAGCCAGAGATCTTGGCTCACTGGACACCACGGTTCTCACGACTTCTTCTCTGGGGTTCCTTCCTTTCAGTATTCCCCTCTGAATTTCTCTGTGACTAAGAAGTGGGAAAACAATAAGGAATCTGCCTTTACGGTAAGCTCTTCTCGGAGAAGCTTAGATTGAATTGCACTTGGGCGTCTCTGTAATGACTTTGGTTTTAAGATGGAATTCTTTCAGAAACACCTGGGGATTAATAACCCTCTTGAGAAAAAAGAAGAAAATGCTACCATGTGAATCAAGACATCATTTTGACAAATGTTTCAGTTTAAAGGGCCCTTAGTTTTAGAAACGGGGCACACTTCTGGACCGCAGGAAATACAGTGCCTGTTGACTATTTACTATTCAGAACCCTGCGGTAGGGGATATGGACATCTTTCCATAATGGTACTTACTCTCAAAAACTTGCCAAGTTAGGCAGCGGAGGCCCACACCTTTAATCCCAGTGCTTGTGGGAAGGGGCAGAAACAGGCAGATCTCTGTGAGTTCAAGGCCAGCCTGGTCTACAGAGCAAATTCCAACACAGGCTCCAAAGCTATGGAGAAACCCTGTCTCAAAAAACTGGAAAAACAAAACAAAAAATCTTGCCAAATGAGTCGGGGGCCAAATCTCATGCTCTAAGCGAAGGAAAATCAAATATTGAACTTGTGTTGCTAAGACCATCGCTTTGGGAGTTAGAGCTATCTTTCGGATCTGTGCTTGGTTTCTGTGTGTATTGTGGAGATGATATAGACTCTGCAGCGTGCTGCAGAGAAGAAATGAGATGCCGACTGGACCACTGCGCAACTTAAAGCAGGGTGGAAATTCTCACTAATAATTCAGAGTGATTTTTAGCGCTGTTTGCCTTATGAGGTGATCGGGACATGAACTAGGTTGAAAGGAGGGAGGAATCCCACATGTGTGGGATGCATCTAGAAAATTTCATTCAGTTGTCAGCCTTGTGATGAACCTTGAAGGATAAGAGTTGTTTTCCTAGGAACAAGATGAAGGATTGCTTCATTTAAAATCCCCTTCACATGAGTAACCATGACCCTACCAGTGGGACTACTTGGGGACCATGGGCAGAGATGGAAGCTCTGTACATGCTGTCTATCACTTACTTGTAATTGAAATCGTGAATTCATTATTCAATAAATTCCTATTATTTTTGCTATAGCAATCCTTTCTGAGGTGGAATAATATTCATGAAGTAGTCAAAGAATCATTGACGATATTTCTGGGTGAGTGTTATTAAGGAATGCTTTCAAGAGCACATGCTTGCTATTAGTGACAGGCGGTATACTGTGTGCTTCCTGGCCTGGCCTCCTGTCTCTGAACGCATGCTGTAAAGGAAGAGAAGTGAGTAATTGCATTTCACATGAGCATCAAATTGACTGTTCCTTCCTGGGAGTTTTGTAAAGTAGAGAGGTGGCACGATTGTCCCCACTTAATGCCAGGAACAGTGAAAAATAACCGTCTTCTTCCAAAACTGCCTCCGACAAACAAGTTAAACCTGTTCCAGCGGCTGCAGTCGCGGAGCACAGATCATTCAGACGACTCCAGAGACAAGTCTGAACCATTGTGCTGCCTTGATATTTTACTGTATCAAATATTTCTTAGCATGAAATTGTGTCCAAGTGAAAGAAATACCAGTGCTCCTGTTAATTAAGCTATTACTGGCCGAGTCAAACACTTTTGCTAGAAGTAGTGGTAACCTTATTTGTATTTACCTAAACAGGTGCAATCTTACTGTTCTAAAGATGAACGGGTACCTTCTCAATTTCGTCCTGTAGGCATGGAAACTGACCTTTGGCCTTAGTCATTGCCTTCGAGGTTTTATCATAAAGGCACGATTATGAGTGCTTCACTAAAACGCGTGTATTCTTCAGAGTGTATTCTTTCTGACCTAAAATATATTTCTCTAGAACATAAAAAGTTCCAGCACGTGCTACATTCCAAATCTCAATCTTATTCCCAAGGGGTGTCTCCATTACTGGATCCTGTCTAGGACTGTAATTAATGCCTGGGTTTTAATACTACCGCTAAATATTAAAATTAGATATCAAATGTGGCATAAAGGGTATCAGACTCTAGTCATGGGGGTGCTATTTGAGTACTGTGACTTTATTTTTAGATATAGCGAAGCATTACCCAGAGGCCCCTCGACGTTGTCTCCAACCTGTCCCCTCACAATGCTTTGCAGGCTGCATTAATCGTCTCTTGCTGCAGCAGTTATATATAACACACTGTCAACATTCTGGCGTAACAGAGCATTTACTTCCTACCCACAAGCTACAACCTTGTTGTGCTGTGTATGGTACAGGGTGAGATCTGCCCTATGAGTCTCTCACCTGGACCCCAGCTCTCGCACGGCGAAAGGTAACCCGACCTAGTTCTCGTTAATGGCAGGAGAAGGGGTTTGCTAAAGGTCAAGAGGTTAAGTCCAGTAAAATAATCACACTCAAAACCTCCTCTCGCCATCTTTGCCTTCCAGGCATCAGCTCCTGCTCTCCAGGGGGGAATCATGGGCTGTGTAGTACCCACTCCATAAACGGGGAGGCTTGAGCCCTGCACCCGCTGACTTTTTCACTTTCGTGGTGCCAGAAGTTTAGTTCTTACAAAAGATACTGAAAATCAGTAGTGTAGTGAAAAGTGAATGAATTTAAGAAATTTGAGTTTGGATTCTAATTTTTGGAGTTCAAGAAACTAGAAAAAAAGCTACAATTTTTGCTGAGATAGGAATAGCTGACCTTCCAGGATAGCATTCTTAAGACTTTGTACATGTGTTAATAGGAATGTAGAAGACATTGTACATGTGTTAATAGGAATGCAGAAGACACCACCCTTTAGTCCTTCTGTTTTATATACTGTATATGAGGAGTTGAATGATGTCATCATTGATGGCACTGCCAGAAATTAGCCATACAAATGGCATTGTCTTAGTTAGGGTTTCTATTGCAGTGAAGAGACACCATGACCACAGCAACTCTTATAAAGGAAAGCATTTAATTGGGGTGGCTCACTTACAGTTTCAGAGGTTTAGTCTATTATCATCATGGTGGGACATGGCAATGCACAGGCAAACATGGTGCTGGAGAAGGAGCTGAGAATTCTACATCTTGAACTGCAGGCAGCAGAAAGAGTCTGTGTCCACAATGGGTGTAGCTTGAGTCTAGGAGACCACAAAGCTTGCCCCCACAATGACACACTTCCCCCAACAAGGCTACATCTACTCCAACAATTCCACACCTCCTAGTAATGCCACTCCCTATGAGCCTTTGGAGGCCAATTAAATTCAAACTACCACAGGTATCTTCTATTCACCTATTTTTAATGCTTGAATAAAGCTAATCAAGAAGATGAAAGGCCTCTACAATGAAAACTTCAAAATCATGAAGAATGAATTGAGGAAGACATTAGAAGATAGAAAGTCCTCTTTCATGAGTTGGAAGGTTAATATTTGAGACTGACTTTACTAAACTCAAAAGAATCTATAGGGTCAATTCAATCCCAGTCAAAACCCAATACCATTCTTCACAGAAATAGGGGGAAAATCTTAAAACCCTTATAGAAATAAAATACCCTTGATAGACAAAGCAAACCTGAGAATAAAGATAATGCTTAAGGTATCTATCACCATATCTGATTTCAAGTTGATCTACAGAGCCATAGGGGAAAAACCAATATGATAGAGGCACAAACCTGACACATAAATCAACAGAATAGAATAGACATAGACCCACACAGCTCTATCCATCTAATTCTTTAACAAAGATGGCAAAAAATACACTGGAGAAAAGATAGCCTCTTCAACAAATGGTGCTGGGAAACTGGATACCCACATGCATAATAGACAAATGAAACTAAATCTCCATTGTTCGTCTTAGGGTTTCTACTGCTACAAAACACTGTGATCAAAAAGCAAGTTGGGAGGAAATGGTTTATTTGTATTTCACCTTCAAATCGTTGTTCATCACCAAAGGAAGTCAAGACAGAAATGCAAACCGGTTTGGAACCTGGAGGCAGGAGCTGATGCAGAGGCCATGGAGCGGGGCTGCTTACTGGCTTGTGTCCATGGCTTGCTCAGCCTGCTTTCTTATAGAACCCACAACCATCAGCTCAGGTATGATACCACCCAGCATGGACTGGGCCTCCCGCAGTGATCACTCACTGAGAAAATGCCTTACAGCTGGATCTCATGGAGACATTTCCTCAACTGAGGCTCCGCCCTTTCTGATGACTCCAGCTTGTGTCGAGTTGACACTAACCCAGCCGTTACTCACATCCTGCATAAAAATCAACTTCAAATGAATCAGAGAGCTTAATGTAACATTTGAATCTTTTAGACGGAAAAAGTGAGGGAAATACTTCAAAGAAATAAGCACAGGCAAGAACTTTCTAAGTAGAACTTTAGCTACTCGGGCCAACAATCGACAAATGGGACCTCAAACAATTAAACCTTCTATCCAGCAAAGGCAACAGTTAACCAAGCGAAGAGAAACCAATGAAATGAGAGATCTTTGTTACCTTGTCCATCTGACAGAAGATTGATTTCCACAATATTCAAAAACTCAAGAAACTAAAGAAGAAACCAAGTAGCCCAATCCACAAATGAGATAATGAAATGAAAAAAATTATCAAAAGAAGAAACACAAATGGCCAATTAATATTTAAAAAGTTTAGCCTCCAGCACTCAGGAGGCAGAGGCAGGTGGATTTCTGAGTTTGAGGCCAGCCTGATCTACAGAGCGAGTTCCAGGACAGCTAGGACTGTTACACAGAGAAACTCTGTCTTTGAAAAACAAAACAAAACAAACAAAAACAAAACAAGCAACAGCAACAACAAAAAAGTTTAATTTCACAAACCATCAAAATTAAATTGAGAGTCAATCTCACACAAGTCATAATGGCAGTGATTAAGAAAACAAATAACAATGAATCCAGTATATGAACAAAAAGGAGTCTTTATACCCTGCTGGTAGGAGTGTGCACTAATCCAGCTACTGTGGAAATCAGTATGAAGGCTTTTTACAAAATAAAGCTAGATCTACAGTATGACTCAGCTGTACTACACCTGAGCATTTACTCAAAGGGCTCCAAGTTAACACAGCACAGATATACCTGCACATCAAAGTATATTGCAGCACCATTTACAAGAATGAAGTGATGGATCCAACCTCTGTATGTGCCCAGCAACAGAGGACGAGATCAAAAGTGTGGTGCATGTGCAATAGGAAAAGAACAAAGCAATGGTTCTTGCAGGAAAATAAATGCAAATGAATTAAGTCAGTCTCCTCAAGAC